CGTATCCCGGCCGCCGTCGGTTATCCACCGGATTCGGATCCATAAGAGACTCCTTATATAATTATTCTGGTTCGGAATTAACGAGGATACATATAACATATATATATATATATAGGGAGAGTATTGTTCTGGTAAGCCTCAAAAGGATAGGAATAGGATAGGAATAAAGATTTTTGATCGGTTGGTTAAATTAGATTTTGTTTCTACCAAATACTTTGAACTTATCTGTAGTAACTAGAACTATGCACGTTAATAGATATTAATTTAATATTTATAAATCAAAAATTTTGCATTAAATAATATTTATAAATACAATGTACTTTTATAATTTATTAAAAATGTTATATAAAGTTAAAATTGTGCAAAATTATATAAAAATGTCTATTTAAAATTAGTACACATCTCGTGCGTTGCACATAATTGATAATAAATTACATTATATCATTTCAAAATATATGTTATTTCAAATTTTTTCTTCAAAAGTTCGATTTGTCTATAACGTGATTCCATAAAATAATTATTTTAGTAAAATTTTATCATAAATTTAAAAACTTGTGTGAATAATAAGTATAAATATAAAAATATATTGTCTAATTAATTAAAATTAATTTATTTTTGTATAAAATATCCAAAATTTAAGTAGTTGAGTAAAAACAATCAATTATAAGAATTTTTTATGCCAAAAAATTCGACAATCTTTACCATGCTAAAAAAATGAACAGTGCATTTCACACAAAAATTGTTTGAAATGTCGTTAAAAAAAATGAATTAAATTGAGACCCAATAATTATACATAAAAAAAATTGACAAGATATTTTTCTACAAAAAAAAACATCGATACACGCACATTATATCTAAATATCAGTTCAAATTATTTTGTCAAAAAAATTGAAATAAAAATTGAAACCCACGCCTAAAAACCAATATATTAGCCTGCGTATTACAGAAAAAAGTACATTGTATGTTGATTAATTTTTCAACAAATTTCTTACAAAATAAAACAGTTATCAAATAACCTAAATAAATTTGCTCAATTTATACCATATATTGATTAATTTATTTTCTATAGAAATAACCATCAATACCAAAATTAAATTCATCCACTATATACCATATATTAATTAATTCACATGATTTGAGTATTTAAGATATTTAATTTATGGCTAGTTACTTTCTTAAATAATGAGCCGCAACTACCATATGTGATCTTTTGAAATTTATGAAATCTTTTGAAATATATTATAAATTGTTAAATTAATTTCTCGAAANGCGATGTAAAAATATAATATTACGATTGTATTATTACTTACATATATAAATTACATGAATCATGATTTACCCATTGTTTTCAAAATCAAACATCTGACCAGGTTAAAAATTCTATGAAGCCATCGGATGGTTTTCTTATGAAGCCATCCACCATTTAATGTATTGACACCCGTCCAAATTGTATTTATTGCAGGACACGTGTCAATACACTATTAGTGAATAAGTGTGGATGGCTCCATAGCAAAACTGCTGACCAGAAAGACCGGGAATCGAATTATCGATGGTTCACTTGAATAAAACCTATGGATCGAGAACCGATTTATCGATGGCCTCAAAAGAAAATAAAAAAAGGTTGTTCTATAGTAACTAGTATGTGGCTCGTGAAATACATGAAAAACTAATATTACAATTATATTATAATTTACATATATAAATTACATTAATCATGATTTACCCATTGTTTCCAAAATCGGACATCTGATCAGATGGACCGAGAATCTATTTATCGATGGTTCGCTTGAATAGAACATATGTGTTACGCCCCGTTAATTTTTGAATAAAATTTTAGACTTTTTTCAAAAATCAAGATTAATTTTTCGAAATTCATTTTTCGATATCAAACATTAATGGCGTTACTCATAATATTTTCACAAATAGCTCAAGTCATATCTGAGCCTTCGGGAATTCATTGCCCAAACACTTGGGATCTCATTTCCCAACACATCACATGCATGCGAGATAAAACATCAATTCATATTCATAACCTTGCAATCATAAATAAATCAATCCATGACACAAAACGTGTTCAAAACATCAAATCCCAGTTTTCAGTAAAATACAAGTCTTAGCGGAAGAAGTTTCAAATCATAAACAGAAAGCAAGTAAAATGACCCTCCCCTCGTCCGTCTCGCTCGCCACCAGCTTAACCTGAAAGGGGAGAAATGGAGGTGAGCAAACCACTAGCTCACCATGTGAATTATTGTACATATCAATTCAGTATATCAACAGAAAACATAATCGCAACATGGACATAAATCAATCACATATTATCACATCTCCTATTATGCCTAACATGCCCAAGTGTACACTTATATAACCATTGATGATCGAATCCTCATCCATTCAACGGGAGTACATGTCAATGGTCGAATCCACACCAAGGACATGGCAACGGGAGACTGCCCCTAACCGAGCACCGTTGATGAGTCGAATCAGCACCCGCCGACAGGGATGCCGTATAGAAAGTCGAACCCACACACAACGACAGGTTACATGGTTCACATGCATACATTGATTATGAGACCTAGCGATTATAAAGAATTATGGCACAGTAAGTTTATCAACACCCACCTGTTCGGAAGACAAGAAAGATAATATGGATTGCACGTTAATGATGCACAATATCACAAAAATCAACCAAACTAAAATTTTTGGTTCGAGAATTTGTATTTCACTCCAATTATTATTTTTATTATTTTTCTACTTGAAAAAACTCAATTATTTCGGTTTTAAAGTCGCCTTTTTTTTAAAAAAAAAATAAGTGAAATAACTGAACTACATGAAAATTATTATTATTATTTATATATTTTTTATGTATCGTGAGTGCACATTATGGCTATATGTATTGCACTATAATGACTATATGACTGCACAATATCAAACCATATCAACCAAACTAAGTTTTTTGATTAAAAATTTAACATTTTGGTTACTACTACTACTACTACTACTTTTAAAAAATCAAATATTTCAGCTCAGCGTCGGTTATTTTTTATGTAAAAACATCATTTATTTTCAATCAATAAAAATATTAAAATTCTAATTATGTTTTAATTCATTACGAATTCGACCCCTAAACTCAATTGTAAATATTTAATATTTACAAAATTACAACTTGGACCCTAATAGTTATCAAATTCACAAAATTAAACCCCTAATACTTATTGCATTTTCAAATAAAACTTGCAATGGCAATTACATCTCCTCGGCTCTGAAAAATTAAAGTCTCGACTGCAACCACCATCAAGCTTGTCCGGCGACGACAGTGCAGCTACCGTCATCTCTTCACAGGCACTATCCCAGCTCCGTCATCTTCACACCGATTTTTTTTTTTATTTCTCGCCAGACTCGGATCGATCGAAGATGGCGGCGAGGAGGTCGGATGCGGCGATGCGGCGGAGAATACGAAGGCTCGACCATGTCGAGTACATCGGGATCTAGGCCGGCACGGCAATTGTCGGCGAGGAGCGCGACTCTGCCCGTGGAGGATATTACGGCCGGATCTACGCAGACACGGTGGTCGTCGGTGGTGACCATGACACAACTGCTAATGGTGGCGGCGGACGACCGTTCTGCTGCTGTGGAGTGTGTAGTCCGCCAGAAACCGCCGCCGTGAGAGTATGTGCGACAGTGCGAGAGATCTTATGAGAGATGCGAGAGAAACGTATAGAGAGGATAGAGAGAGAGGAGAGAGAGAGAGAGAGTTGTATTGATATTTGTGTGTGGGGCCCACGTCCATGTGTTGTAAATGTGTATTGTCTAAACTGCCCTTAAATATTGGTCAAATGTGTGCATTTGACCACGAAATATATATTTAATTATGAAATTGCCATAACAAGTTTGACTATAATATTTAAATTTTGACATGATCATAACAATTGATATGTAGGTTCCAATGGTAATGATTCATTCTCATTTCTTTCACTATCTACCATTCTCATATGATCCCTTCTCTCTCTTCTCTCTTGAGCTATGTTCTAAAAATCGGCCTAGGCGGCCGCCTAGGCGCTAGGCAGTGCCCGGGCGCCTCCGATTTGCACAAATCGGCAGAAAAAATCGGCTAGGCGACTTGGCGGCGCTTAGGCGGGCCTAGACTGCCCTAGGCGCCCCTAGGCGGACTTGGCGGCTCGGCGCCCAGGCGGGCATAGCGGACCTAGGCGCTCCTAGGCGGGCTCGGCGGTAATTTTTTATTTTTTTTATTTTTTTAAATACTAATTATATTATTTTGTTCTCATATTTTTCTTTAAAATATATTAGTATTATTATTTAGACTTGAGTGTGTGGATTTATTATAAGTTGAGATAGTTTTATTTTGTAGAAAGTTAAAATAAATAAAAATAAGGTATTTAATATTAATTTCTAGACCTCGACTAGGCACCGCCTAGGCCCTCTAGGCGCTAGGCGTTGGTCGAGCGCCTAGCGGGCGCCTAGCGACTTTTAGAACACTGCTCTTGAGAGAGAAGGGATCATATGAGAATGGTAGATAGTGAAAGAAATGAGAATGATTGTGGACCATTGGATCCAACATATCAATGGTTACGATAAAGTCAAACTATGGTTAATCATTAATAGCAATCTGGTAATTATTTGATCATAGTGTGGTCAAATATGTGCATTTGACCAATAATTAAGGGTAAGTTGGTCAATATACATTTATTATGTGGGACCCACTCACAAATTAAATATTTATTTTCTTTTCATTACCCTCCCCTTCACGATCGTTTCAGATCTCCAAACACACACACACACACCACGTCTGCGCAGCTGTCGGACCACCACCCGCCGCCAATCACCAGCACGCCATTCGCCACCACCTGACATCTTAGAAGACGCCAATGCCGGTACCGTTGCCGCTGTCAATGAACCGTCGGAACCACAAACAATCCCAACCGACTCCTCTGCCCCATCTGCAATCTGCCCCGACAGCTCCTCCGCCCATAGCCCCGCCTCCATCACAAATTGCTTCTCTGCCATCTCTGAATCCGCCAGAACCACATCCCGTAACAACCAACAGCTCCATCCACCATCTCCTCCGGTTGTCTGTCTGCCCACAGACCCGCCTCTGCCACAGATTTCACCCTCCGCCGCCGCACATCCTGTTTTGGTAGGATGACCACTACGATTTGGCGGGATGTAGCATTTGTACATCATGTGTTTGCTTGAGTTTTGGGGTTGTTTTTTGTGAGAACTTGATTTATTATTGGGGTCTTATTACAATTTTTGAAATTTTGTTATATTTTCAATTGAGTACAATTAGGCCTTCTGGAAACCAAGAAAGGTTTCTCAATCCAACTAAGAATCGCGGATATGTGAAACTACGGCAAAAGGCCAATATTCAAATTCAAGAAAGGGTAGATTCATGTGTAGGTGATTTGCAGGGACACCCGGGAATTACGTATCCTCCATTGTGAAGAAAAGGTAAAAGGAATACGATAAGAGGGACGTACTATCCCACAGAATTTCGTTGTTGAAGGAATAGGTATAGCGGGGTTTACGTTGTCCCTATTCTAGAGTAAGCGATAATTCCAAGATAATATATTAAAATATAACACATACACAATAATACATAAAATGCACTATATTAATTTTTTATACTTCAATAGAAAATCATAGTTTAATATTTTTATTCAAAAATATAAAATATAATACTTTTAATATAATTTGGTTTTTACTTTAGTTATTTAAATAAAAAATTAATATCGTACCGAAATACTTGATTTATAAAAAAAAAAAAAAACTAATAATAATCGAAACAATATATAATTTTTTGAACCGAATTTATGTTCGTTGGATGTCGTTCGATTTTGTGCAATCTAGTAGACGTTTATGAGCAATTAGTATAGCCATGATGTGCACTCGCAATACATACAAAAATTTATATGAAAAATATTATTGTTTTCTTATTAAAAAAATATAATTGAAGAAGAATTGGTAATAATTTTTCATATAGTTCAGCATGTTTTGTTATTGTATTTATTTAAAATACTAATATTATTCAATCGATTAGCATAATTACTGAATTTTTTTGGTATGCATAGCATGTTGCTTTATAAAGTGTAACATGCCGTGTTATAAAGTGCAATGTATGTAGCATGTTGCTTTTATTCGATCAATTCCTTCTTCTCCAACCCTTGCTATCAGATCTTTGATGGTTGTTATCAGATTTTCTGCATCGGGACGGGCGGACGTGGCTGTGGGGAAGGCGGAGACGTCGCCGGCGCATCATCCTCGTCAAACAGTGACGGGCAGAGTGACTGTCGCGACGGCAAGGCGAGCGGCTGTTGGCAGCGAGATCGAGCGGTGGCTGTGGGCGTGGCTAAGTGTTGCGCCTGTCTGAGGTGTCGGTCGGAGGCGACTGGTGGTGGCTAAGGACTGTGCGCAGCTGCTCTCCGACGGGACAACGGCGGCGGCTCTCCGACGGGACGACGGTGGCAGGCTGTGCATCTTCACGGTTGGCGATTGCAGCATCGCTCCATGAGTAGCCGATGGCTGACGTGCACCATGTCGGCGTGTCTATGTGCATCCCCGTGAAGTGTGTGTGTGTGTGTGTGAGAGAGAGAGAGAGAGAGAGAGAGAGAGAGAGGTGAGGTAGGTGACGGTAGACATGGCCAAAACCCGAGCCGAGTCATGACTCGGCCCGGCCCGCCGCGTCGCCGGGCTCGAAAACACTGACCCTGAACCGGCACGGACCTATACTCGTGCCGGTTCCGTGTCCGGACCGGGCCGTGCCGGGTCCGTGCTTTTTTTAAAAAAAGTATAAAAAAATAAAAAAAATTGAAAAGAAGGGTCATCGACCCGGCCCGGCCCTGACCCTCCGAGCCGAGTCATGAAATGGATGACCTTTACACGGCCCGTCTGAAATCCGGGCCGGGCCGCCAAGCCGGGCGACCCTTTGGCCATGTCTAGGTGACGGGTGGGATATGGGGATGAGGAAATGGTTTAATTGGGGTAGGGCCCACTAATGTGGTTGACATTTGGTGTTTGAGTAAATGACCATATTATTCTCAATGATGATATAATTTTGACTTTTTGTGAACCATTAGATCATCCGATCTCATGGCTACGATTTATTTTTATTTCTTTCATTGAACACTTTTCTCACGGGAACGTGACCCTATATATATATATATATATATATATATATATATATTTGAGGTGGCCATCTCCATGTCTGACAAATGTCCTTTTGGGGATAAATTATTTAAATGTCCTTTTTTTAAGAAAGTGTCACGCATTTTTGTGAGGACAATAGGGTAAATTATATTTGCTTACCCTCTTTTGGTGTTTTGACTGAAGTACTCCTGTGTATTGACATTTTCGGGGTTGCAGGAGTCATTTTCCCTTCTTCTTTGCTGCAACAGTCGCTGTACTTTTGCGCGATTTCCTCCCAAAAAATCCGCTGCGACATGCGTCTTCTCTCTGTTTTGCCTTAAACGTTGTTGCTGAAAATTGACAAGTCAGTTGCTTTTCCATTTTTCCCGCACACGCAACATCATCGACTGACGGAGTGAACTGAACCCACACGCGCATAGATCACATTCTAAATGCAACTCTCTCTCAAACCCTCGATCACGTCCCTTTCTGCAAAGCGAAAATGAAACTCATCTCTCACATTAATCCCCACTGGCCACTGCGACGGTACTTCTCTGCAATTAGAGGGAGTTGTAGTTCGGATGCGTGTAAGTTTTTTTTTCTTTGTTGTTTGTTCCGCTTCATGTAGCTAGAGATGTTCAAGGTCTAAACTCCATCTACAATTTATGTTTACCATATTAGTGAATTTAAGGTGCAGACGTGGATGAGCCTCCCGAACCAACGAGGACACGTGCACCGACGGGTTCGGACGAACTGAGCTCGTTAATATTGATCAACGAACTGAGCTCGTGCTCGATCTTTTGGCTCGACTCATCAAAGGCTCGAGAAACCTAAGCTCGAACTCGACTCGGCTCATTTACAGTCCTAACTACAAGTCGATACGTTTGCAGGATGTCTCATTCTCCAATCTTTTTTTTTTCCTCTCTCTTTTTTTTTAAGTAGGGAACAACACTCCGTCACAACCCGTGGGTTTTAGCCTTTCGTGCTCGTCTAGATACGGAAATTATTGGAATTATACACTACAACCCCCACAGATTGGCAGCTGTTGCAGCGACTCCACAAATTATTCCTACATCCTCATTATTCTTTTATTTTTCGACTATGAGACATAGAAACTTCAACTTTCAACTTCAAGTCCCCAAACTTAATCAACATGGATTAAAGCAATCACAAACACATATCAACAATACAAATCGCCTCAAAACCAACTCACCACAAATAAGACACAAAAATATCAACCATCATGCCTTTGTCCCCAAAATAAAAACACCTTAAGAATTTAACCGAACAAAATTAACTCAAGCCATTTAAACTAGCACAATAAATTCAAACCGACTCTCATGTTATCATCGCAAAATTCCATGTACATGCAATCTCACGCTCACACACAAACAAATATCATGCAATAGAATCTAAGAACTCAAACTCTAAAGGGCAAAAATATAATGACATAATAAATCATGAATGCTCGCCAAGAAACCACATCCCCAAACTTAGAGTTTGCATATATCATCGACACTAATAAACACCAAAAAAAACAACAGAGATAAAAAGGAACGAGTTCACCCTAGTCAATGCAGATGAAGTCAATCGAACCACGCACACCATTGGGTTGCCTCCTAACAAGCGCCTCTTTTTATTGTCGTTGGCCTGACTTATTGTATTCTATCATCAAAGGATCCATGGCGGCTTCGGAGATGGCCTCAAGGGAGGCACAAATCTCACCACGCCATGCTTGACGACATCCCCTCTTTCCGGCGTTGGATGCTTCACCGGATCTTTCCTCCATGACGCTAGTTCCTCAAGAATGTGTAGCAAACCGCGCTCGATCACGGTCACCGCCTCATCAAAATCCCATTCACACCTTTCGTTTTGCTCGATTATCTCAAGAGAAGGTATATCAAGGCCCAAGACATGCTTTAGCGCATCCTTGCTCAGTACCCACTTCATATTGGAAGAGATAAGACAAGGTTCAGCTTCTATAACACTTTTTGGCTACAGCAGGTTGAGTACGGGGTGCCCCCGTATTCAGCTGCTCAGCCCCATATTCTGCAGCTTGGTTCTCTTTTTCGCTCTCATTTTTCTCGATATTCGTGATTTTCTCATTCTCCGACGTGTGTATGCATTCTTCAAGTTCCTCGAGGTCCTCGCTGTACGAATGGATGACGCTCGAACTCATTGGACTCGTTTCCAATCGATACACTAGTCGGTCCATTTGTTCCACCAATTGGCTCATTTGGCCTTGTAAAATCCTTATGCTTAGTTCTTGGCTCTTGATGCTCGCCTCAACACCTTGCTGAAAGTTAAAGGTGTTCAACGTCAATTCCTTCATTATATCCTCGAGAGACGGACCAGGGTCGTTCTCAACAAATGGCTCGGAGTGTTCTTGCAGAAATTTCAATGTGTGAGCCTCTAGTGCCTTCACCATATCCTCGAGCGATGGGCTAGGAAATCTCTCAACTAATGGCTCGGAGTGCACATGGAAAGAGTTCGAGTGTTCATACCCATCGGGATAAAAGTAGTCTTGCTCGTCCTTTTGCTAACCACTAGGTCCTCTTACGCCCCGATCTCCAATCCACGGACCTCGTATCTCCCTCTCATACTGGTAAGGTGCCTGGTGGGTATAAAAGTCGTGATAATAGGCTGTCATCTCGAAAACTTGCGCCAAGATCGATAAAATCGCCCAAAGACAATTTATTCTCGCGAGTATGGGGTTCAACAATTCTGTCCAGCAGAGTTTGGGGACACCCAATATTCTGCAAGAAAACAAAGACAAAGAAAATAGAAGGATAAAAGATGATAAAAATAAAATTCTAAAAAAATTTAATAAAATAATTCAACTAGTACTCAAAAATCACAATTCAATAACACTACTCCCCGGCAACGATGCCAAAATTTGACCGAGCGTCGCAGCGCGGCAAAATTATAATTTATATTTTTCCTCGACTAACCTCTACTAACTAGTAGTAGTGGCGAGCAAGGGTCGATCCCACAAGGAGTATGAATCAAATTGTGAATTTTCTTGTAATAATTGAAATTATAAAAAGCGATAAATGGAGAGTTTTGATTTAATAACAAAACTACCTAAAATTCTAATGAAATAAATAATACCTAAACAATGAAAATAAAAATAAAAATAAATAAATGAAGAGAACTTTCTAGTTCACGGTTCCGTCTACACCCTCGACCGACTCGTCTAATCAACTTTAGTATCAAATCTCGCTATCTCATGGAATTACTAGCCCTAGGTAACGACACGGTCAGTTACCCGAATTTTTCCTTATTTTTAATTTAAACGCGAGACGCTCTACGATTAAATCTGACTTCTTGTACAATCCAGAAAAACGTTTTCAAGATTTAATACAATTAGCCGCTTTACGAATTAGAAAAATAGGCTAGACTAAGTAGTGAACTCAACCGCGTTCGTTCACTTAAATAAGTCGTGTTATCCCCGGTAGTTACCATCTTCCGGTTACCTCTTATGAATTAAACACAACAACAATTACGGATTGCAGGTATAAGATGTAGATATGAAAAGCCTAATCTAGGTGATCAATCTAAACAAGACTAACACATCATGAATTGTTCGAAATAACACAAACAATTCCAAAAAGATAACTCAATAATCAACCACGAAAATCAATCAAACATCATCAAGTCATAGGGTTCGACATCACCCGAAACTAGAAATAAAAACTACTCTATCATAATAAATAAAAAGAAAAAGAGAAAAGAGAGAGATTAATTATCTCCCTCGTGTGCGAGTGCGGTCTCCCTCCGTAATTGCCCAGTTTCTCCCGTTTGTCCTGTGTCTTGCGTAAAAATAATTTCCCTGCTCTGTTGCGGCTCTCGCTTTCTGTGCGTTTCTGGTTTTCGTGAATATCCCTGGTGTGCTTCTGTTAAGTAAAAATAAAGTGGCCCTAATAAATTCGTCAATTAAATCCTCCACGGCCTGTTGCGAATTTTTGTTATCTTTGCAAATAATTTCCCAAGCCCAAATTGGTTTCCTCAAGTAAATGTCTAGCCCACTTCTTATTTCTTTTCCTTCTGCCGCGTGACTCGCCTCCAAGTGGAGTACTCTCCAAACAATTAAGTCTCCTCCTCCTCCTAACTTCAAAAACTTTGGACTGCCACCTTTCCCTTAGCCCATTTGGCCATTTTATTTCAATGCTAGGCCCACTTAAACTAATGTAGATTTGGGCCCATATTATGGCTGATATTGAATGCTCCATTAATGGATCACGTGAACTCCCGTCCTCAAAATACTTCAATATTCTGAAAATAAATTATAAAAATATCATAACACTTGGATCCATCTAATAAATAAATAAGTCAAAAAAAGATATAAGTGCGATAAAATTAAGCATATAAAAATACGCTAATAAATATATAAAATATACACTTTTTCCGACTAATGACAAGATTTTACATTTTTAATCCACGGTAGAAAATGTTAAAAGGACAAGGTTATTATAGTAAATATGTAAAGAGAAAGAGTTATATTATATAATTTAGTTACGAGTTACTACCTTCACATTGCTACTACTTTCGGCCAATGTGAGATCGGAAAGGTCTCCACCCAATGTCGCCGGAGACCGTAGTTTTTGTCGGAGCTAACAAATCCTTCACTCGAACCCCGTAATCTCGTAAGCGCCGAAACATTTGAACAAAACAGAGACCAAAAGCCCCCTACTAAAATCTCACCATCGCCTGCATCGTCCGCCCCTACAGTTCTCATCCTCCGGCGAGTTTTCTCGCAGCGCACAGGTACACAGCTACAGAATATAGATGATCTTTTTTATTTGACTACATTTTTCTGCAGCTGTAAAATGAAAATTTGATTTAGCTAATATTTTGTTAAAAAAAAAACAAGATTTTCTGTTTATCAAAATTATTTTGATAATTACTCCAAAATTATGTCGATAAATTACTCGTCTGAATCAATTTGTGGTGAGTTTTGATTTTCATATTCGTGGAAAAATCATATCAAGGTAACATATCAAATATTTGGTGGTAGAAGTTCAAGAACTAAGAAAAAAGTTGAATGGGATGATACATGGGCCACGGACAGATTCAACATAGGCCTGGCCCAGGCCCCCTTTTTTTTTTACACCTATTAACTTGGCCAATTTATACGCTTGCTAAGTCAATGTGAAAATATTGCATATATACGATCAAGTCAAAAAAATTAGCACTAAAACGAAATTAGACAAAATAATTAGTTGAATGCAAAAAATTAGTTTACTAAAAAAACGGAAGCAATATCCATTCTTTTTAACTTTGGTTGTGACAAAAAACCAACAATTTTCAAACGTTAATAACTTTTTTGTTTGTTATCTATTTTTTTTTATAATATATCGAATTAATCACTTTTCGACGAGGTTTAATTTGATATCTATATTGCATATATAAAATAAAAAATAAAATTAAATTATCTATTAATATTAATTATAATTTAATAAAAATTAATAAAATTATCTATATTGGAGTTGCATATTCGATAGGAAAATAAAAAACATAAAAACTCTATATATATATATTAATGGGTTCAAATGAAAATAAAAGACAATGAAAGAAATAAGAATTACTTCCAACCATAGAATCTCGCGCTTGAGCGGTGTAGATGGAATCAACAGAATTTGAATTACTGATAAATAAACGGTGGCATATTCGTAATTACGGCTGAATATTCAGGTCATACACGTGGGTAGAAGGGCAATAGTGTAAAATATTCGGACTGACAGTTCACATTGTGGGCCCCACATACCATCTCCATCCCATTAATTCTCTTTTCTCTCTCTTCCCACTCATTCTCTTTCCTCTCTCTGTCTATTACGCACGCACAGACAAATTCAATTTGCCGTAGACATCTTATTCGGCCACCATGAGCCTCGCCGTAGACACCATATTCCGCCGCCGATGCACTGGGATTCACGGCGAGAGCAACCGTGTACCGTTGCCGCTGGCACCAACCCAGGCGCAACCACTCAATTCATACAAACACACACACGCGAGATATGAACCGACACCATGACCCTCGCCGGCGACTGACGGCCGCCGCCATCTCCACGAACGGTCCTCCTTCGCCTACCGTCATCGACCGCGAACAGCCCCGCCGATTATATCAATACCATCTCCACAGTTCGCCGCCGCTGCCATCCTCAATCAACTCTGCCACCACCACCACAGATCCGCCGACGGTTCACCATAAAACTCGCATTTCCGACCTCCGCCGTCTCCCACCATATGTCCGCCCCCGTCACTGTATGTCTCGAGGTACGACAACAACATCTGCTCGAAGGCTATATCCGTAAGAAATCGATATTCCATCGAGCATCGAGCACCGGTCTCGGTCCTCTCGGATCTGGCGGGTGGTTCCTCGACGAGATCCAGAGGACCATCTGAAGGTTAAAGAACCTCACGACCTTCCAATACGGCGTCTATCTGAATTTTCGAGGACAAATTTTCCGGTTGCGCAGCCGGCGGGCAAGGACTCACTCTTTCGGCGGGATCGACCAGACCTTTTAATTGAGGGAGTTTGTGATGTCGCCGCCGAATTTGGCGTCGGAGTTTAGTCGAGCGAGGTGATGACGTGCAGCTGCACGGTGGTCCAGCGGGGCTGACGATTGATTTGAAAAGAGGTCAACAGACATGGCGTTTGGAAATGAATTGGGGTTGGGCTAAATTTTGTACATTAGATAAGGGGCAAGGACTTATATGCAATTTTTAAGAATCTTAAATATATACAATTTAGTTCATGGGTTATATATATAATTTATAAAGAATACTAAATGCACAACAATGACAAATAAAGTGCACTCAATATAGATAAAAATATATAAATAATAATAATAATAATAATAATAATAATAATTTTCATATAGTTCGTTATTTTAGTTATTTTAAAAAATAAAGGTGACTTCAGTACTGAAATACTTAAGTTTCTAAAAGTAGAAAAATAATAAAACTAAAAATTGAATCGAAATATAAAAAATTAGAACTGAAATTTTTAGTTTGGTTGATTTTTTATATTGTGCAATCGTATAGTCATTAATGTGCAACCAATATAATCATAATGTGCACTCGCAATACATAAAAATATATAAATCATAATAATAATAATATTTTTCATATAGTTCTGTTATTTCAATTTTGATCAAAATAATCGAAATATATAATTTTTAAAATTATATAAATAACTTTATTTCAGCTGAAACTATCAAAGTTAACATAACTTAAAAATTAAAAATAATCGAAATACATAAATTCAGACATAAAAAATATAGTTATTTCAGTTTTGATCGCTAATGTGCCGTCCATATATTAATGTGCATTATGTCTATCACTAATGTGCAGTGTTTCACTTGCTATTGTGCATCTGTGTCGTTCGAACTTTTGCTCCAACAAATTAAAACCGAACTAAAATGCATATTTTATACGGCCAGTTAACCAAATTACCATAATTATTCTAAATAAATTATTTTTTTATATTATAAAAAATTATTTAATATGAGAATAGTTTTATTTAATATATTTACATTGGTTTTTATTGTAAATACATATAAAATACCATAATTAACGATGTGCATTTCAGTAGACAATAATGTGCATATAATCTAGTATTATTGTGCAATTGATTATGTGGATATTTTTTTATGTGCATTTCATTTTTAGAATATTCTAATAATGTGTATTTTTAATTAACATTATTGTGCACTTATTATTGTGGTTATATAAAAAATATATTTAGTATTTACATTGTTTATTTAATATTTTATATTATTGATTGTTAAAATAAATAATATATATATATATGATATAAAATATAAATTTTTATATATTTCGATCAATTATGTTATTATATTCTTTTTAAATTAAAGTTGGAATCAGACATAACAACTAAATTTTTATATATCTGAAAAATGCCCACCGTTGTGATAATGTTTATTTTTCCATGTATTAATGTGCATTTGGTATAACAATATTGTGCATTCTGTCAGTCACTCACTGATGTGCAATTTTAAACGATTGCACTGAACATGTATTTGCAATTATTATAATTTTAACCCATAAACTAAATTGTAAAATAATAGAATTATAAAATTTCAAGTAAATCCCTAAAAATTGTCAAATTCCCAAAGCATGTCCCTAGGTAAAAATATTCAAAATCCCGTGTCCCTGAATGGTTCTCGCCGGCCTCTTCCCGATCAGTCGGCGCTCCACCTCCGACCATCCGCCGTTCCCCGCGATATTCTTGTCCGTCCACACGCCGTCGCATATCAACCAGTGACCGGAAAATCGAGTTTCAGCCCCAAACATGGGGTGCGGCGGCAACATCGCCATCTCCATCCTCACCTGCGGCTGAGCGAGTCCGAAGAGTAGATCGGTAATTTTGGACGCTCACAGCCTCCTCACCCATCCAAGACGTGTCTGATTAACTCCGACGATGTCTCCGCTAGAGATTCACGGCCAGATTCGCGAGGAAGCGGGGCAAAAATTCTGTCAACGCCGCTGCTTCTGGAATTATATGCAGGCGCTCGAATTTTCCTTGTGAGGAGGACGGCAGCGGCGGCGGGCGGGGCGACCTACGATTTTGTTGATTTGCTCGCGACCGGAGGCGGCACAATTCAAGCTTGGCTGCGGAGGATGGATGTGGCTGAGGTGGAATAGCGGGAAACTGACGGCTGACAATGGCGACGGACGACCGGCGACGCGCGGAGTGGCTGCAGGTGGTCGAAAGTGCTCTGTGAGCGTGTGTGTGCGCAGGTGTGTGTGTGTTTGTGCGTTTGTGTGTGTGTGTGGTGATGGTGGTGATGTGGCAGGTGTAATTAAATTAATATTTGATGTGTGTCCCATTGTAAGAAAATATCTAAAATACCCCTCATCAGTTTAAGATTGTGATTTTTGTTGTATCCGTCCGCTTGTTTCATCTAATGATTGTGATTTATTCTCATTTCTTTCATTAAGCACCATTCTCATGTGAACTCATCTATATATATATATATATACTTATATGTTATATAAATTATTACATATTATAAACCAAGTATAAACCGAATTATTACAGGTTATGTAAAAAAACGCAATATATACTAAACATATACTAACTATAACCACAACATATACTAAAAAAAATTTCGATGTCCGTCTTATACAAAAAATGCAATACATATACTAAAAATATACTAACTATACCTATAACATATACTAAAAAATATTTCGTTGTCCGTCTTGTATAAGATTTGACGCACGTCGTTAAGTTTTGCGCAACATATACTAAAATGCAGTATATAATTTTGCCCAAAATGTTTATTACAACGAAATTTGACTTTTTTATTTAATAATATATAAGTCCCTTTAGTGTAAGATTCCTTCTGTCTTTTGCAGGAAGGTCAATCGAATTATTTTAAAGGTTTAATGCTCATTTTTTGCTATCTCATTGTTGCTGCTAGTTTCTTTGTGCACGTTGATCCTTCGAATGGTGAGTTCTTTATATGTTTTACTGTTAATTGTTTTTTTCGATTATTAGTGTTCTTTATATGTTTTTCTGTTAATCGTTTTTTTTCGAATATTAGTGTTATTTAATAGAGAGAAATTGTTGGGAGGTGGCGTGGGTGACTTTCTGACTAGAGAGAAAGAGATAGAAGAAACAGGTGGTGAGAAGTTGTAAAAGATTTCACATCCCCCGTAATATCCGCCGTTACCCCATAAAACCAATAGTTACCTTTTAAAAAGAATGAAAAAGAAAAACTGGAAATTGGATAAATCACGTAGGGATGCAATTAATATGTAGGGAAATTTATATCTCTCCTACATGATTTATAAGTAATTGCATATATACTGCCAATGAAAAGAAATTTGCAATACTACCTAAAATCTAGCAAATAAATAAGATTATGCATAAAGATAGGCTACCAAAAAAAACGCATGAATCTTCCACTAGAATTAAAAAAAAAAAGGAAAAAATCATATTATATAGATAGGAAAGATCAATCAACTCAAAATAAAGTATATAACTTTCTCTCTCTCTTCGATGAAAAAAACTCTACTTCTATCATCTCCCATGGCTTTTTTGAACGATATCGGGCAGAGAAACGGCTAAAGAGGTGGCGATGTCGTGCCCTACGACCGCTCCCTCAAGATCAAGGCCGAGGCCCGACAAACTCAACGGGCTTGCAGCCAATCAGAGTCGCATAAGGTCGCAATCGACTATTTTCCAGCTGAGCGCAAGGGTGGATAGGATATGCGGGGATTGAGGGAGAGATCTCCACAATCCAGACCGAGATTCGACGGGTTGTCGGAGCTCAGGTCCACTATCGAGGCGGCGCGTAGGGGGATATATCGGAGAAGATGACCATGGTCATGGTCGCAGTTTCGGGTCTTAATTCGGGTATTGGATTCGATTTGATCAGTTCAAATCGTTTTTTGAATTAATATTTATCTAGTTTTATTAATATTTATGTCTGATATATGATCAGTTTATGTGTAGTATATTTTAGGTATATGTTTCGTATACAACATTTGTAATTTTTTAGTGTTGAAAAACGTATTGTATGGTTTGTTATTTTTCTGATGGCATATGGTTCTTAATGTATTGTATATTTCAAGTGTTTGATATGTGATATTGTTACAATTAGTTAAGTAGTTTATGTTATATGATCTGTTTATATTGTTATCAATGTTTCAACATCGCCGGAAGTCTAAATAAAATGTTTAAAAAATCAACATATACTGAAATATACTAGCTATAAACGCAAAATATGCGTAATTATGGAAAATATATTGTCTACAAACATACACACTCTCTCAATATACGGAAAAGTTACGCAACATATACTGATCATATACTGTACAAATACCACAAACACAACACAAATGATAGAGGCGCGATCGATCTTTTTCTTAAGAAAAGTTACGCAAATATACCACAGAATAAAATTGTTGATTAAAATCAAAGTATATTAGTATATCATCTTCGTTTTCAACCAGAAAAATCTTCTTCTAATATACCAAACATCAATTATGAATAAAATATTAAAAACAGAAAAAGCAAAAACAACATCCCATTCACAAACTAATTTGTATATAACTAATATACCAAACATAAACTAATACGTACAATAACTACACATATCCTTAAGGTGTGCATATACTGTACATATACCGTACATATACTGACCATACACTATTTTTTATAATGAAAAAATCAAACCAAATATCGATTTTCTGAAACCCAACCAACCATCTCCCCCAACAATGGTGACGCTGAAACCCTAAATGAGGACGTCGGCAGAAATTGAGGACATCATAAAACTCTTCCAAATGGTTTAAGCTTGGGATGCACTTGATCATGTTAGAGTAGGATACCTGGCGTTCCAATCAGATTGGACGTATTCTACTTGTAAATACAATCTATTGGAATTATATTAATTAAAAGGCATTACTTTATTTTAAGAATAAGCATTTATCATATAATTGCACTTAAAATAAAATCCCTAGATCACATATAGTTATAAGGTATGGTTGCGCATAGAGATGGTGATCATGGAACATACCTTGAAAGCTGTGATCTTAAATACAGTTCCAAGTTGTTGGATGTTTCGAGATGGGATATCGAATAAATCCGGAAAAGACTTGCACATATGATGTATGCTTGTTGGACAAGAATGTTGCATTCCATCAACATTAGCGTGGGACGCAAATACATATATGTGAGTGCTTGTTAGAGAACAAGTTCACTGAACATGGCCGTATGAAAATTCTTAATGAAAGTTTATCATGTCGAATAAGAATTTTCATGTTACAATAGTACATGACTAATCCTTAGACTTGAGGCACGATGGTAACTTTGTGCATATTATATTTTACTTTGATTTATCCTTTTGGTTGCTAGCACAATCGTATAAAGGGATATTTTGGGTATTATATTAATATGTATGGAAGTTTGTCAGTAGCCAACAAAGGATTCGACACGTATGAAGATACGTGAATTTCCTATGTATTTCATAGTTAGTAATTCAAAGTCCTTGGCCAAGGCGGGATGAATAGAGATTCATACACGAATTACTAAACTTGAAATGGAATCATAGTTATTAAATCAATTTGGGTTTCGACAAAATCATACCCAAAGATTTAATCGGAAAATTGGATGTCGAAAGGATTTTACATGTATGGACTTGTAATTGAAATAGGTTTACTCGCTATTCACTTAATACTAGATTCATGCTACTTGCTAGATGTTCCCATGATATGTGGGTTCTTGAATTAAGGAGTTAATTCATGAATAAGAGTTAATAAGATTAACTCAAATTACAAAGAGTTGTAAACCCACTACTAGTATTAATTGTGAACCTAAAAGGTCACACCTAAATTTGAATGAAGGTAAAATTCAAATAAGTAATTCTAAAGAGTTAGAATTAATTGACAAAATCTAATTTGATTAGATGTCAATTAAAGGAATATATTAAATTAATCAATTGGATTGATTAATTGAATATTGGATATTAATTTAGTAATTAATGGAATTACTAATTAATAGTTGGAATTTAAAATTGGATTTTAAATTTCAAATCACTAATTAATAGTTGGAATTTAAAATTGGATTTTAAATTTCAAATCCTAATAATAATATGATTATTAAATGAGGAAATGGAATAAAAGATTAAAATAATAAAGTCTTGAAAGATGCTTTCAAGAATTATTATTTTATTATTTTATCTTTAATATGATTAAAGATTAAATATTAATAAGAATAAATTAATTATGGTGGTTAAGAGTTGTTAACTACTTAACATAATTAATTTTATTTTTATTTATAGAATATTGGGTGGGGAATAGTCTTGTTCAAGACTTAATATTTTATGAAAATATTCTACCCAATATTATTATTTTATACTAAAATATTTAGCATAAATATGGACATGCTTGATGTTCAAATTTGATCTAAGTTTTTCAAGAGTTGAAAAAGAGAGAAAAGAAGAAGTGTTCTTCAAAATACAAACAAGAAGAGTTCTTGTAAATTTCCTCATAAATATATATTCCATACTTATTGAAAAATCGATTAGTTTCTACTAGCGAAGAAACTAGTTTGTAACCGAATTCAAAAGGTGGATACGATTAGAGGGAAGACATTTGGATTCCTAAAGCGAGTAACATCAACAAATAGAAGTTACCAAACCGGGAATTGATTTCCTCAATCATCGTCAATTTTTGAAGGAGTTCAAGAACTAAGGTAAATTTAATTTACTTATAACAAATCAAAATTTGTATTATTACATGTTTTTAAATGATGACTATTCGTGTATTCACTATATGTACGTATGGGTTGAGTATTTAAACGTTAAATACTTGTTTTTGAAACATAATTTTCCGCTGCGTATAACCCGTACGGTACAGGTGAACCCAACAGATCACTCATGACGCATACAGAGAATTGAAAATCCATCTCCGATCGTTATCCTACGCCGCCATAGACGTCTCCGAACCCGCCTCCGATTTCTTTCTCCTCAGCCCGGGCAGAAGAGAAGCCCCGTTTCCATTCGGACCTCTACGCCGTCGGATCAGCCACTGGCATCCCGTTGGCCGGCCATCCAATTGACACTCGGGGCGGTGAGGGCTCCCTCGCCCTTCCCGGCGGAGGAAAATTTCGCCTCAGGGTTCGATCTATCATAAAAAAAATAAAGAAAAAATTTTAACTTGAAGAGAAAATATAAACATAAAGTTGTAGAAGAAGAAGAAGAAGAAGAAGAAGAAGAAGAAGAAGAAGAAGAGGGAGAGAGAAGAACCTGTGGGGATGGTGAACGTGGGCGGTGGGTGCTTTTTTGTTGGAGAGATATTATCTTCACCGTAAAATCAGCAACTTCCTTAATTATCCCAATTAATTTAAACGGTTACTCTTAGGTATATCTGCAATATTTTAGGTTGATTTTAGTACAATTATAAATATTTCCCTAATAGGTGTATAATATAATATATTTGGAATTTTGAAGTAGAGGTGCAAATTCCTCTAATATGTACAGTTGTTTCAAAATTGGTAATAAAAAATTTATGCCCGTATATCTGCAAATATGTTTAAAATATCTCGGTCTAGGAATAATTTTCTCTATTAACTTCAATTTCAACCAAAGCAATAATAGACAAAGGCCCAATCTCCCAACCCAAACTTACATATATCTGCCACTTTCAATGGACTTCCAACTTATTATACTTATTCAAATAATAATTAATAAGTTAATATAACCTTACCTTACGCAAGAGAAAAACAGAGCACGGCTCTTCCCTCGCTCGACGCTCGACTTCTGCATTTTCTACCTCTGACCTCGGCGGCTCGGTGGATTGCGTTCACCGGCAGCTGAATTNATTTTTACACTTCTGATAGGTATTGCTAATTGCTATATTTTTGTATTGTACATGTTTTTTTGCCTTTTTTTTTCATGTTCTGTAATTTAACTTTTGTTGGATTATTTTTTTTATTTTTTATTTTTGGTTGGATTAGTTATCTTATTAAGTTCATGACTTCATGTGACACTTGCTTGCAAAGGGAGAAAAAAATGGTGTAATGAGCTTTGATTATTGTGTAAGATCCATGATTTAGTGATTGGGGGATTTTCTGGATAGGAAAAGAGAAATTTGAAGGATTTCTCATTTCTTCTATCATGTTTGTTATGGCCTTAATAGGGGATTTTCTTTTATAGATTTTGCACTTTTGGTTTTGGTAGATAATTTATTTGTTGTTATTTTTGAATGGTTGATCATAGGTATATAATGTAGAAATGATTAGTTCAAATATTTGATGAAAAAAATATTATGTGCTTTTTATAAAAATGAGTATTTAAAATTCTAGCCCAGTCTACTTTTAATTTCTGGATCCGTCCATGACATGGGCAAAACCTATAATGACCAAACCTATTCCACTGCTGCAATTATATGATACACTCTTTTTAACCGAAACAATTATGCTTATTTGGGATTGTTTGTTTTATTTCTTACAGAAGCAAATACTATATTTCAGGAAATTTAGGATATAATGTATGAACAAGGATACAAATTTGTCATTGGTGTGCACCCTCAAAGCCTAAAATGTCATGCTTCCATTTTTCATCAATATTTTTGGAGAAGATTTTCTTTGTGGTCAATGAAGAAAGACCCGGATCTCGAATCAGCTTTGTCTCGAAATCGTAGATGGGTGGTGAATAATCAGATCAAGAACATAATCCTTAGATGTCCGAATCAAGTTGCTCCCATTGATTATCTTCAGAAAAAATTCAAAAGCCTCGATCTTCAGGGCAAGGCACTTAATTGGGTAAAGAAGTACCCTTGCTGCTTCGAAGTGCACCTCGAGAATGATAAGTATTTTTGTCAGTTAACGAAAAGGATGAAGTTTCTGGTCGATGAGGAAGAAAGCGTTCGAGATTTGCAGGAACCGGTTTTCGTAAAGCGATTGGCAAAGTTGTTGATGATGAGTAGGAACAAAAGACTCAGTGTTATGAAAATCAATGAATTGAAGAGAAATTTCGGCTTTCCTGATGATTATTTGCTTCGGATTGTTCCTAAGCACACAGACATGTTCAGGGTCGTTAATTATACCGGGAGGCGAAGTTCAATGGATATTGAGCTTATATCATGGAATCCAGATTTTGCAGTTTCGGCAGTTGAGATGTTAGCTCAGAAGGAAAATCGCGAGCCGTGCTTTACATGTTCTTTGCCAGAAAATTGGATGAAATCATGGGAGAGATTTCGAGAGTTCAATTCCACCCCATACATCTCACCGTACGTGGAGTTGACAGACGAATCACTCAAAACTGACAAAAGAACCATAGGTTTGGTGCATGAGTTATTATCTCTGACTTTGTGGAAGAAAGTCTCGATTGCCAAATTAGGTCATTTTAGAAGAGAATTCTGCTTACCTGAGAAATTAAATGTTTTGCTTCTCAAGCATCCTGGTATATTTTATGTTTCGAACAAATATCAGATTTATACTGTTCTTCTTAGGGAAGGATACTGTGGCTCCGAAATGGTTGAAAAGGATCCGCTTGTTGTTGTGAAGGAAAAGTTCGGGGAATTAATGCAGGAAGGACTTCATGAGTATAACAGAAGGCACCACCAAATGAACTTAGAAAAGAAGAAGAAGAATAACAAAGGTATTGTAGCTGTTGGGGAAGAAAGAATGAAGAGAGGCAGCCATGAGACTGATACCAAAGATGATGAAAGTGGTGATCTTGGAGGCATATTTGATGCCGAGGAAAGGAAAAGATTTTACGACGTTCTCTTTGATGAGAATGAAAAATGAAATTTTGAATGCAACTGAGAGTGGACCTTTTTTTCTCTCAAGGTGGTAATTTATTTTATTTATGTACTATACAATGGAAATATTGTCTTGCTTTGTTTATTTAATTTTGTATGTCGACTAATATATGCCCAGGTATCTTACGTTGATGGCCTTTCTGGTGATGAGGCAAGCTTACAACTGTGCATGAAAGCGGATTTAGAGTAAGAACTTCCCACTCTTTTGTATGCTTTGCCCCTTTAGTTCTTTACTCAATAGTTCTGTATTTTAGCCTGTATATCTTGAGATATGAGTTCTGTAATTTACAATGGATAGATAGAAACGTTGGATCTGAGAAAATTGGATTATTGGGACTTAATATGCACCTATTTACGTGAAGATTCGGAAGTATGTACCAAATCAGACTTTTGTAGATGAAGAATCTTCTTTTGTATCAAGAAGAGTGACATGTTAAATGGGCACTGTAATTAAGAGATTGGATATTCTGCAAACTGGTCGGTATATGAGAAGTTGTAAGGCGACAGGCGGTTTTATTGTTGATGCAATGGTGGAAATAACCGCTGCTTCAAAATTGGGGGCCATTGCATATGATAAATTGATGACATGCTAACACTATACCTTTATGCTTCGGATTTTATTTTAAATTTCACATCAAGAGGAACTTTTAGCNAAATAAGCCAAAAAAGAAAATGAAGAATTCTAGCATGCAAATTCCTTTTTATGTTCTAAAACATTTATATGATGTAATCCTTTGAATGAACCATATTGTAGTCAAATATTATCATGAAGACTAGAGAGTGTTACTTCGCTTGGCTGAGGAGGCTTCCTTGGGTGTTGGAATTCCACCCGAACTTAAAGACACCTTTCATTTTGAGGCATATGACACCAACAACCATGTTTTCCTTTCTATAATTTTTTTGGCAGAGTGAGTATATTACTAATGTTTCCTTCTGTCACATTTTCAACATTAAGTACGATATGAATGACAGGTATTGAAAAGAGGGCGCACATCGGTATGGAGCAGTGCTGATAAGAGCGTTTGTTGTTGTTGCTTCACGAAGATGAAGGCGAAGGAGCTACGCAAGAAGATTGTCGAGTACCCGACCTTTGATCACATTATGTACCACTCGACAGTCTCAATCCTTCCAGTCGGCAATCTAGGGTCCAAATTGAATTCTGAATTAAGGTTAATATTTAATTATGAATTTTTTTGTTGCTTAATTTTTTGAATTGAAAGTTTTTGCCCTTAAACTGAAATGCAAGAATGTTTGGGGGGCACATCAAGGATGAATGGTTGGACTGTAAGCTGATACGACGTCACTCTCCTCACGAGTGGATTTATGGAGGTAAAATGAAGCGGCTTTAGAATCATTATCTCTTAATATTCTGGTTGCTATTGAGTCGTCTTTTTCCTTCATAGGTACTTCTTTGATGTAAATCCTATCAATGTTATCTATTCATCAAGAACCAGCCATGAAATGGCCTTTTCGCCGGCAGATCTGGTGGACTAAGCCACTGGTGATGCAGCTTTTTTCCAAATCGCCTCTGATGGGTGAAAAAGTAATAATTCAAAAAATGGAGATAGTTTTTTGGTTAATTTTAGTATGCACCTTCCAAATGGGTCACGAGTGTTCTATTTGAATAACAGCACTTTGCCATCACAGTATGTGAAGGAGGTTATCTGGGATGCTGTTCAGAGTATATGCGGCAACAATGTACAGAGATGTGTAGGGATTGTTGCTGATAAGCATAGACAAAAGGCGTCGGAAAATTTAGAGCTTGAGAATAATTGGATGGTCAATGCGATTTAAGTATTCCTTAGTTTGATCAATGACCTCATTAGATAATTCCCGCTTTTTAGTTGCGTATAACAAAATTGTCTGAAAATCGCAAACCAGGCCTTTGGGTAGCAGTGAGGCTTCTTTTTCTCCATGGGACTGCCTTTGGGTTCAACTTTCACCAGGCCTCCATGGGGTGGCTTTGTGGGCTGGTGGCGGGCCTTCAGAGGGCCCAGAAGATGGCTTACGTCGCAGCCCAGGCAAGGCTGGGAAATCGTGAGGAGATGGAGCTTTGTGAGGAGGAATGAGGTTTTTGTGCATAGGCATCATTAATTTTTTAAGCTTTGTTTTCAATTTCATTCTGTTTCAAGCTTCAACTCTAGAAGGATTTATGGGTAGGATTTGTTAATTTTATTAATTACTATTTGTCTCTACTCGCTTGGTTTTACTTTTAGTTCTTAAACTACGAGGGCGAAGGATGATTTGTCTTTACTAATTTTTTTTTTTCAAAAATTATTTTTCTTATTTACATTTGAATTTGATAAGCTGTAGGGAACTGTAGTAGATTTAGCTAATGATTGTCACGAAATTATGATTTTTGGATCAGTAATTGGAAATTCGACGAGTTTAGCGTGCCAGCATTTTTCGGGCATTGAAATCATTCAAAGCAGGTCATGATCAAAGTGGAAAGTGTGTTGATGCTTGGCATAAGAGATTATTTAAGAGTCCCTGTAATAGCATGCTGAAATAACTATCTATATGAAAAGTATGAAATCTTCATGTCCTCTTAAGTCTTAACTAACTTGAAAAGTATGAGTTTGTCTTAATTGATAATTCCTTGCTCGTTAGTCTTTTGTCGTGGGTTTGTCTGAGTTCTGTTGGGGAAAGAAAAAATTGTGATTAGGGCTACTTGTTTGTGTATGTGCATTTAAAATGACTCAATCCTAATATGAAAATGGGAAGCACTTTTTCTCCCCACTTTTTCCAGTTGGTTGTTAAATAGCAAACAAGATTTGTGAAAATGCTAGAAAAATAAATAAATAAATCAAGAAACCAACTATAATAGTTTTTGGAAATTCAAGTCTAATAAATTGAGCAAGTAAGAGAATATATGATAACAACAACCGTGAAGATGCTTTGCTCCTTTGCAAGATTTCTAATTCCGGCAAGAAGAAAGCACGGTGATTTTTGTTATTATTATTATTTTATTTTAATCTAAAATGTGAGAATCACTCATTTCCAAGTATTATATCATTTTTCTTAGATGTTTGTAAATTTGAGCCGGCTTGGAATGTATGTTTTGATTCTGCAATAAATTTTAATTGCTTACTGCTTAGTATCATTTAAAAACTGTGGCTTGGGTCTTAGGCAGTCACCAACTACATTGCTCGCTGCATTTACAGTTGAGTAAATATTTTACTTATGAAAAGTAAATGTATACTTCATAATATTAAAAAAAAAAAGTACTTCAGGATAGAACAAAGAATATCAAATTTGCATCATGTTCTTTACAACTGAACACTATTTTATTTTTTCATACAATTCATATATTAATGTAAAGTATTAACTAGGACAAATCGTTTATTAGAATGGAGTCTATTAAAGACAAATACATAAAAAATAATAAATTTTAAATATAAATTCAAAAAGTAATTGATTTATTCTTGGGTAACAAATGCTTCAAGTGTCTCCTTTGTGCAATTAAAAAACTCTAGGCTTTCGACTTCCAATAGGTCAATGACTTTGCCAAGTGTGAGCCCAAATCTTCCATAGCCCAATCGCAGGAATGCTTGACCCAAATTTTCTTGGGCCTCCATCCTGCGAATCAAGTAACGCAGATGAGACGTTAGCGGCCCATTAAGAAGTAGCCACTTCAGTTCACGGCCCCACGAACGGTTGACGGTACGCAGCAGCATCTGAGTTCGGGGGTCGAGCATTCTCAGTACGGAGCGGAGGAGATCGGTCATTGGGCCGCCGATCAACTCCTCCGTCCGTGTACGACCAGATTCCATCGGATATTCTTGAGCCGGCGGTATTTCTTGAAAGACTGATGTTGACTGGACCAGTTCTTGACGGCACGCCACTTCTTGACGGCGTGAGGTCGATGGGATGTGTTCTTGATACACATATCTCAGGGGCGGGAGTTCCAGAAGAATTTCCCGGCAAGGTCTGTTGGCTGGGAATCCGAAAGAGGGCGGTGGCGGCGGAAGTATCTGGGGTGGAAGATTTTCCCGGCGAGGTCTGTTGGTTGGGATTCCGAAAGAGGGCGGTGGTGGCGGTCCAAAGAGTGGCGGCGGTAGTATCATGGGTCGGCGAGCTCTGTTGGCTGGGATTCCGGAAGTGGAAGGAAGGTTGGGTAAACCTCCGGTGACGGTCGACGGGGATGAGACCGGTGGCGGCGGATATATCACGGGGAGGAAAGTTTCCCGGCGAGCTCTGTTGACCGGGATTACGGGAGAGGAAGGAAGGTCGGCTATAGCTCCGACGGCAAGTGATAGGGCTGAGAGCGGTGGGTGCGGTCCCAATCTCGGCGGCGGAAGGAGTGCGAACATTTCCCGGCGAGCTCTCTTGGCGGGGATTCCGGAAGTGGGAGGAAGGTCGGGTAAACCACCTGCAGCACTCAAGGGTGGTGACGGCGGCGGTGGAGATGGTGACGGAGGTGGAGATGACGGCGGCGGTATGGAAGACATGGGGGTGGAGAAGGAGGTGGCGAGAAATTAGCGATTCTCGGCAGGGATTTGCAGGACGATGATTTGCAGGACGATGGCTACAAGTGGGTCCTCTCCAACGCCCATGGCCAACGGTTAACCCTTAAATAAGGGTGAAAAAAAAAACATAAAGAAAAATGAGCCGAAACCCGGCCCAATTGGTATATCTCAACATGAAAGATAACTAAAACCCAACAAGTGTCTATCCGATTGGACTTTGGTAAAAAAATATAAATATACATATCTATATTTATATATATAATAATTTATATATTATAATGCGAATAATAATTTTTTCTATTATTTTGTAATTTTTATATTTTTTGTAGGTGGTGACAGTTATGTAACATCACGGTGTCCTTTTCCTAGGACGTCGCGGCCGCCACCACACTGGGAGTAGATAAAGGCGGCACCGCCAGGCGCGGTGGAAGACATACGCAAGGTGGATTTTGTTGCCGATGTTGAGAATAGATTTTGGTTGATCTCCATGTTCGCCATATCCATGTCTAATTCCCGCCAACTCTAATTCCACCGAGACAATGATTATGCGGGGCTGAAGGCCGCGACAACATATATGGAGTTGGTTACCGGCAGCGGCAGAGATGGGTATGGTAACGACGGAGGCTGGCAACTATATATATAGAGAAGAGATCATATGAGAATGGTAGATAGTGAAAGAAATAAGAATGATTATCGACCATTAGATCAATTATATCAATGGACATGATGAAGTCAAAATTAAATAACAATGGTCAATTCTGCAGTGGCAAAATTGTAAATACATGACTATCCCATGCCCAAATAAATACCTCAGAGGGCATTATGTAATTTCATCATACAACAACTCAGTGGGTCCCACTCATATATTAATGCCACGATCTCTCTCTCTCTCTCTCTCTCTCTCTCTTTTCCTCTCTCTCTCTCTTATACACACCCACACACACACAGATGCACGCGCACATTCACACACACACACACACAGATGCACGCGCACACTCACACACTACCGCCGGCAGCTCACATTCTGGCAACAGACACAACCCACCACTGCAGCAAGCCCACCGGCCATGACGTCACCGTCGACAGACCTGCTACCACCTCCGTCTGCGATGTCGTCAGCCCGTCCAAAGCTCACAGCTTAAGCTCCCATGTCGACGGCCATAGTAACCGCCGGCCGTCAACAGACCGCCACCCCGCCGCCGCCGCCATCTGCCATTAGTCTGCCGCTTCGCTTCAGCTGTCCGTCCACCACAACTTCGCCTCACCTTGCTTAATCTGCCGTCAGCCAACCCAACGTCGCCACAGGCCACGGCCGCAACATCTTCTCCATGACACTCATCAGATAGGTTGCAGGTTGCCTCCGGCAGGAACCACCACATGCCCGCTGTGTCGGCACTCGTCAGTCGCCACTAAGTCAGTCACCGCCACAAGCCAGCCATTCGTAGAAAATGCCAAAAACGAATGATAATTTTACACTTTAGAATGAAGGCTTTGTTGTGGAAATTTGATATGTTGAAGGGATTCAATTGCAATTTTAAAAACTTTAATATATTGCAATTTAATTCTTGGGGTAAATTTATAATTTAAAAAAAAAATTAATAATCGCACATTAATGTTGTGTACATCACACGTTAACGATAATTAAATTGCACATTATTGTTATGTGGGGACACAACGATGAGCAATGTAGGCAAGGCTTGAGGATCTTCTAGAAAACCAAGTGGCAGATTTCTTCTAGATACTTCAAGATTATTTTCCTCATGTTTTTATTATTATTCCTAACTTGTTTAGGTGTTGATTAATTTGGGCATTTCTAGAGTTCTATATATTTCCCTTCCATAGATTAGAAGTTAATTTCTCTTAGGATTAGTCTTTGCTTTTCTTTAAATACTTGATATTGTTAATCGAATTATTCATTCAAGTTAATAGAAAAATAATATTTTGATCAAAACTTTATCGTGAAGAACTAGACCATTAGTACGAGTTTTAACACAAACTATTGTGTGTACGGAAGGCTCTTAGCGCGCCCTTTCACGCACAAACATGTCATTGGGACACACGATCTCCATCATTATGTCACAACTTTTGTTATATTCTACAGTATTTACTTAGGGTCTGTTTGTACATGAAATAATCAATACATACTCAAAATCTAACTCAATTTTAACACAACTCCACTAAATTATCAATATAATTTAATAACATTAATCAATCATTTTTACACATCTTTGCTATTGATTCACTCACGTAATTTAATTAAGCATCACTTCATATCATCCTTCTCATATTTTTATATCAAATTAATTTTAATTATATTATGTTAAATATTTTTTTAATATAAACTCAAAATTATATTAACAATTAATTATACCTTTTTTTTTTATCAAAATTAATCATGATTGAAAAATAAATAAATAAATAAAATCGGTAGATATATCTGTATCCAATCACACCATAGTTACTACAGTGTACCGTCACATTGCTACTACCTTCGGCCAATGTGAGGTCGGAAAAGGTTCCACGCAATTATCGCCGGAGACCATAGTTTTTCTCGGAGCTGAAAATTCTCTCACTCAACCTCGTAATAACTCGTAAGCACCGAAATATTTGAACAATCAGAGAGCCCAAAATTCCCCTATTTAAATCTCAGCATTGCCCTGCATCACCTGCCCCTACAGTTCTCGTCCTCCGGCAAGTTTTCTCGAAGCGCACAGGTACACAAGTACAAAATACAGATAATCTTTTTTGTTTCACTATATTTTTTTGTAGCTGTAAAATGAAAATTGAATTTAGCTAATATTTTGTTAAAAAAAAAANTTCTGTTTATCGAAATAATTTCGATAATTACTCGTTTGAATAGTCGATTAAGAGAGACCTTAAAGATTGAAATATCTCCAAGGATATAGTGGTGGATAGAAGCGCTTGGAGGCTAGCAATCAACGTGCCAGAACCGTGACTTTTTCTCCTTTCTCTTTTGCTCCAATCTCTTCCTTTTGTTTCGAGCCCTTTTTGTGTTTCTCTTACCATTGATTCTCTTGGGTTTCATCTCTAGCCTACCCCGACTTGCTCGGAAATAAAAACCTATGTTGTAATTACTCGTTTGAATCTATTTGCGGTGAGTTTTGATTCATATTCGTGGAAGAATCATATCAAATTGACAAATTAAATATTTGGTGGTTGAAGTTCAAGAACTAAGAAAAAAATTGAACGGGATGATACATGGGCAAAACCTATAATGACCAAAATCTATTCCACTGCTGCAATTATAGGATACACTCTTTTTAACTGTAAAACAATTATGCTTATGTGGGATTGTTTGTTTTATTTCTTACAGAAGTAAATATTATATTTCAGGGAATCGATTTATCGTCGGTTCGCTTGAATAAAACCTATGGATCGGGAACCGATTTATCGATGGCCTCAAAAGAAAATAAAAAAAGGTTGTTCTATAGTAAAATAATGTGGCTCGTGAAATACATGAAAAACTAATATTACGCTTATATTATAACTTACATATATCAATCACATTAATCATTATTTATCTATTGTTTTTAAAATCGGACATCTGATCAGATGGACCGACACTCGATTTATCGATGGTTCACTTGAATAAAACATATGGATCGGGAATCGATTTATCGATGGCCTCAAAAGAATATAATAAAAGGTTGAAGAAGGGGACACCACTGTCTTCAAACGTGTCGGCAACATGTTTGAAGTTATTATTATTTTTTTATAAACTTCTATGGGACATCGACTAGCTTAAGCTGGTCAACAGGATTTTATGACATAGTTTTTTTGTCAACTTTTCTTTATCTAAAATTAATTATTATGATATAAAAAAATATTTTTATTTCGTCTTTTTATTTATGACAATGACGTCTTCAATTTACTAGTTCAGTCACAGAACAAGAATTTTCCAAAATATTAAAGTTTTTGATAATAATTATGCGAATAGGAATTTTCCATACCAACTTGGCAATAATATGCAATATTTGAATGTCGCCGTTTTTTTGCACAGTAGAAATTTTTTAAAAATAACTTAAAAACAAATATTCTGCAATTTTTATGCGATTTTTATTCGCCTATAAGCCGCAGGTTCATTTAACAAGAATTATTGTTCAAAACAATTGCTCTGTGACTACAAGACGATGAACACCTGATTGATTAAACTATTCATCGAATCTCCGCGTATTTGATCATCGCCAAACTGTCGCATAATTTATCACATAATGTTTCCACACTTGCTCATACTATTCTTCTATCTGTCATATAGTTTATCGCATAATATTTTCGCACATACGATTCTCGTATTTGTCGAATAGTTTATTAATATAATGTGATCACACTCGTTGGGTAAAAAACTTATTAATGGAAGGTGTGAAAAACTTATTATATCTTCTTGGAGGTGAAAAAGATTATTTTAGTATTGAAAATAATAGATAAATCACAAGATATATAAGCTAATAAATCTAATGAAACGACTTAACCAACCAAACTTATGATAAATCACATGATATATAAGCTAAATCTAATGAAACGACTTTAACCAACCAAACTTATTTTTGGTTTTGGATTTTCATCATAGACGGGCACATTGCACATCGTGCACGAGTTCTTATTACGCAAAGACCCAACAATGCAGTGGGAATGAAACGTGTGGCCACACACGGTAGTCAATAACTGGGCTCCCACTGTGGGGGCCGCTTGCATATCGGGCAGCTCCTCATCAAGCCCAAGCCCAACTCGACATCCTCCAATCTGGACCTCGCCATATTTCTTGTCACGAAAATCGCCAGTGGAAAGCCTATATTTCCTTATAAAGGCCACCGACGTTCACCGACGTTCACCGGCATCAGATTCTCAACCCTAATCGCCCTATCCACAGCAGCGTCCAATTCCTCGCCGTCCTGCTGCACCGTGCAGACGTCAATCCTCACGGTCACAGGGATGACACGTGGACCCCTGTCCGCCGTCGATAGCACCGTGGATCTGCACAGGTCAAGCGCCTCGTGGATCATTTCCTGGATATGGGCCTCCGTCATCCAGTACTCCCTCAGCCGGCGTTTCGAGCAAGGGAAGAGCTCGGACTTGTGGTCGCAGGGCAAGGTGGGTTCAGAGATAGTCTCGGAGCCCAGAGTGGTCTCGCCGGCGCCGGAGTCTCTTGGTTTTAGGATGAAATTTGTTCGGATCTGGAATTGGAACAAGCAGCGCCCTTCTAGGGAGACTCGCCGGTTCGTATTTACGCGACCCTCGTCGATCTCGATCTGATGGCGGTACTCGTATCCCGGCCGCCGTCGGTTATCCATCGGATTCGGATCCATAAGGGGACTCCTTATATATTATTCTGGTTCGGAATTAACGTAGATAATAAGATATATAGAGGGAGAGAGTAAGGAGAGTATTGATTTGGTTGGCCTCCAAATAATAGAATGGGGTAGGAATAGGGGTAGGAGTAGGAATGAGATGGGAATAAGATTTTTGATCGGTTTGTTAAAAGGTAAATGTATAGATAAATCCTGAGGACATCCACAACCTTTTAACACAAATATGATTCATTCAATCAAAAATAATACTCTTTCTCATCCATATCATCTCCAAATCATATTTCCACTAAATCTCTCCTCATTTAAACACACACTCACATTTTTGCACATTCATTTAAATACATATATGAGACCCATTATCCACTCATTCAATATAATTTTTAATAATTTTATTCTCAATAAAAATAAAAAATTAATATTTTTAAATTATAATAATAAATTTTAAATGCATGAAAATAAAAAAAACACTATAAGATTAAAATAACTTAAATTAATATTACACAAGATAAATTTTGGAAAGTGTGATATAGATAAAATTTGAATTTATTATAATTAAAAAGTGTTACTATATAGATAAAAAGATGAATTAAGTATAAAAAAAAAGATTGAATAAAAAACGAATTTAAAACAAAAAAAAAAAAAATGAAGGAATGCCGTTCAAGACCTTGAACGGCAGATGGGAGGCCTGCATTAAATGAATGCGCCCCATCCCATTTAACGCTCATGGGGCGTTTAAACGCTCAGGTGCTCTTATTCATTTTTCAATTATTCTCTAACTTATTTTTTTCCTAATGCACTTTCTCTTACAATCTTCTCTTTCCCATTCACTCCTCATAAATTTAATAATATCATAATATTCATTTATTTTATTATTGTAAAACTTAAGAAATTAGAAAAGAGCAGAAGATCGCGTATGAAAACTTCCTCTCCCTAAAACCCTATCCCCAAATCGTCGCCCAAATCTCTACCCTTTCTCCCAAAACTTTCCGTCAATTGCCTTCCTTTGTGACGATAAGATTTCGGCCAATGGTCGTTTCTGATCGCTCGGCCCGCCCTCAGCCTCGCACGTCTTAGATGTCTCTGCAGGTATCGCGATTGGGGCTTATCTTCGTTGCCAACGAGTTTGGGTCGCGTGGTGGAGCTCCATCAATCGGAGTCGAAAGATCTTCCTTTGGTTGCCGGCAGTCTTCGATTGGAGGAAGGAAGCTTCGATCTTCTTCTGGTTGGTTCATCGGAGGTCCAACAGGTTGGCTTCGCTATTCACGGCGGGGCTTCTGGTGGTTTGGGCTCGGGTCGGCGGCGGTTTGCAGGGGTGTTGGGAGAAGCGTGAGTCGGTGGTCGGGTCGGGACTCCGGATGTCGTGGCGGCCCTGTTGCGGTGACTGGGGGTGAGGGAATGAGCCATCCTCACCCTCTCATGTCGGCTAGTGGTGTTAGGCGGCGGGAAACCTGGTTTTCCAGAGCTCGTCTAGTGGTGTTAGACGGGTTCGGGCCAGGACTGGTGTGGGGGCGGAGTGTTTTCCTCTCGGTTGGTGACGGGTCGATTCTGGGATTGGTTCGGGCTCGGAGTTGGCTATTGTATAGGCGGTTGCGCAGTTTCGGTAGCGGTTCTTCGGGCTTGGAATCTCTCTTGTGTCGATTGTTCACTGTTGGTTGGGTCGATTTGATTGCTGAGGAAGGGCTTTGTGTGTTCATGTTTTTGTAGTAATTATTTTGTGTTGTTTGTGTTGTTCTTGTGTTTGATAATGTGTTTTCGGTCTGGGCCATTGGCCCCTGTGCGCCCGAGTGTCACTTTTATTACCCTGTGGGGGTCCGAAACTCGGTTANCCAGTCCTTCTTTTTCCTTCGACATCCACACCATTTTCATCGTCGATGACATCCCCAATCCTCCATCCACCTTTCGATGAGGAAAGCGTCATTAGCTTTCCAATCCAACAAGCTCCTCGTCGACGAGAAAGAGTTCGGACCAAGGCGACCGATCTCCCGACCGCCAGTAGCAACCCGGCCAATTTCAACTCCTCCAACGTATCTCAAGAGGTCGCTTGATTTGGGTTCGAATCTGGACTCCATAATTCAATTCACCCTTAAACTCGCTTTCGGGAACTCCGATTTCACACCATCGGAACAGTTTGGGCTTGCTCAAAACGTCGTCGCACGGCAGTCAGGTTGCGAAAACCTAACCTGAGGTGGTGATAATTAATATGTTGTACCGAATTTGGGTGAAATTTTATGTGTATTGAACCTAGACGGCCAGGTGGAGCCCGTCAGAGGTAATATCTGATTCCTAACCTAGCCTGAGTAGGTTCCTGTGTCTTAATTTTTGGTCGACTTCAATTCTTGTGCAGACCATATTTTCGGTCGATTTCAATTTTGTAGTAGTGGAAATTTCATGAACGAGTGCAAAGTTGAAAGTTTGCTTAGCCAGTGATTTGAGGAAAGAAAGAAGAAAATCAAGAGGCTTTTGGATGCCAATGGATTGGATGTGAGCAAGCATATATGTTGGATACATTAGAGATGACAGAGTCAGAGTACAAGAAATGGGAAAAATAGCATGCTCCTGCTGGTTGGGATGGTGAGTGACTGACTCTTTTTCGTTTTTTTTATGCGATTGTCTGTTGAGCGGGGATGATTAGTTTTTGTTCCATTTGAATTTTGATTGCCAATGCGTATATGTATCTGTTGAACTGAGGCTAATTTTGATGTATTTGTGTGCATTACAGTGAAGTGAATCTCTTATGAAACAATCCGGCCCAATATCAAGCCGTTTGAGCCTGTATCCCTCTACCTCACTATGAATCAGGGTTTTTCAATCTTCAAGCGCCGGCAATACGCCCTCGCCTTGTCAGCAACTGCATTGCTACGTAAGGCTGCTCATATGGGCCCAAAATCAAACTCATCGCTTCTTATGGGCCTCATATGATTTAAAACTGATGTTGGAAAATATAATATGGTTTTGTTGGGGGATGGTCATGTATTGGTGTTTGCTTAATTGCTTGTGTAAGGGGTTCTTTTGTTTAGGGCTCTCATAAGATTACCGGAGGTGGTTTTCAGTCTCGTTTGATGTTGGGATGAATGAAGGTGGCGGCCGGTGGTAATATGTTATTTCTTCCCATGTAATTTGTATTTGTGATAAGCTGACAATGGTATAATGTGACAGTACTTGGTTAGGTCTTGAGATTATTAGAGAAAGTCAATTATGCAAGTAATTTGTGTATTAGATGATGATTATTTACTGGGGCAGTGGATATGAATCCAGATCTAGTGTACTGTGTAAAAAGACAATGATGTTGCTCGGTCGTGTGTTTGATTGGGTGATAAAGCACGTGATTTGTACCAAAAAAAAAAAAAAAAGTCTCTTATGATACAAAGAAATGAGGCTTGTGGCTTCAACAAAAAATGAAAATAATTAACTTCCTTTGTCGCAATTTTTGGTCGATGTTGGAGATTAGGTGTACCTGTTTTTAATTAATTAATATTTATTTTTAATCAATTAGAACCTCTCAATGAAAATGGATTACTTCAATCCCGTTGTAAGCCAAACGCGGGACCTAAATATTTTGGTCAACATTTGCGAAATTAGTACCAGTCCTAGAGTTAGATAGTACTCAATAAATGGTGTTCTAATACTAGATATCGGGTCTTCAGCGCCAACTCAGACAATCATAAAAAAGTTGAATTTTGCAAAATAGTACCACTTCAAGGCATCAAACTTTTGTTTTAAGAAATCTACCTAAGAGAATTTAGAAAAGTCATCTACACATACAAGAATATACTTTTTACCACTGTAGCTTTCCACTTGAATATGTCCCATGAGATCCATATGCATCAGCTCCATGATTTTGTCCGTGCTCACCTCAGTCATCCCTCTTGTGTGAAGCTCTTTTGTGTTTGCTTATTTGACATGGACCACACACACGGTGTTCATCCTTCTTTAGTTTGGGCAGATCACGAACAACACATGCAGATGATATTTCAAGTACGTGGGGATAATTTATATGCCCTAATTACTGATGCCAGAGTCCAATCGTAGCAATGCTGGCTTTGTTACATTTCAATTCAAGTTCAACCAGGTAACAATTATCTCTAGACCTCGAGCCAGTAAGAATACGATTATTTTCTTGATTAGAAACATGGCATTCAGACTTAGTAAAATTCGCATCGAGACTTTGATCACACAACTGATTGATACTCAACAAATTTGCTTTCAAATTTTCAACAAGAAGAACATTTTGAAGTTTAGGCAATACATGTACGTTCAAACATCCAATACCAAGAACTTTATTCTTAGCACCATCACCAAAATATTGATCACATTGGATTTAAGACCTGTCATATGTCGTGAACAACTACTGTCAAAATACCAGTCAGAATTAGAAATGGATTTCAAGGCAAGTATAGAAGACAGACACACGTTCTTACTCCCTCTAAGTAACCAAATATATTTCTGTTCATGATTAACCACATCAACCTTTAATTTTTGTTTTTTCAATGGTACACCATGTGGACTCCATTCATCAATTCGACATGTATAAATGTCATTATGCATTTTATAACACCTACGACGAATATGACCACGAATATCACAATAGTGACAAGTTGGTACGAAGTTCTTTCCAGAGTTCTTTTGCTGAGTTCCAGTAGAGTTAAACTTACCTTCTTTAACAAAGGTTAGTTCAGACTTACTCAGAGATGTGCTTGGTTCGCCAACCTTACCTTTCAACTTCTCATTGTGAGTGTTCTTACTCTGTTCTGAAGTCCCTATATGTTGGCTCAACTTCTGAACTTCGGCAAATGAAGACTTTGGCTTGTTGATTATTTTGATAACCTCAACGCTCTTGCTGAGTTTCTTCTCAATGGTTGAACAGTGATCTTGAAGCTGTACATGTTCCTCTATCACTCGGTCGAGCTCTCCTTTTTAGGCAATGATCTCAGCTTCTCTTTCTTTTACAAGATTCTGCACAACAAACAAATCATTACGTAAAGATTGAATGTTAAAATCCTTCTCATCACTTACCTATTTGCTCACCTATTGAGATCTCGATCTTAATTTCCAGTGTGCAAATCAGAGTTAATGAGCTTTTCATTCAGTTTAACGGTCATCACTCGCATTTTTTTAAGTTCACTTCTGGGATAAGTAATCTCCTTTTCTCGTTCAGTTGACCGGTGTTCCAACAACTTCATCTTCTTTGTCTGAACTTGATACTTCTTGATGACCTTGGAAGCCTTCAAACACTTCTCCATAGCATACTTGTGAAGAACAAGATTCTCCTCACCTGGGTCAGAAAACTCCTCGGGCTCAGAGTAGCTGAGGGATGGGCATAAGAACTAGCTTTTGACTCAACATCAGTGAAATGAATAGAGATGCGAAACACTTATAATAATTGAGAGGACATTTGGCAAAATTGTTGGTGAATTGGGAGCCCTGGGTCTTCTCAGATTCATTATCCTCATCATCGCTACAATCAGACCATGTCGCCTTATAGATAAGCTCTTTCTTAAAGTTTGGATATTTCTTCTGAAAGTGATCGAACCCTTTGCATTCCCGACATTGATCATTTTCAACACCTTGGGTAGAACTCCGAAACTTGTTAGATTGCATGTTCAAACATCGTTCACCAAGCCGTTGAGATGTGTTCTTTCCACCTTCAGAGGACTTATTCCCATGAAACTTTTTCTTCTTGAATTTATTCAGCTTTGAGTAGTTTTTGGTAAGAATAGTGAGTGCCTTCATAATTCCTTCATCATAAAAAACTTCTTCATCCAAGTCTTCTTCTTCTTCTAACGCCGGTGTACGAACCTTGGCTTTCAGTGCCAACCCTTTTCCTTTTCCTCTCTTTACTAACTCAAAGCCATGATTTATCTCAAAAGTACGCAAATCTCCCAGAAGATCATCAATCCCAAGTGGCTGAACTCTTATGAAACTCTCCAAAACCGTGATCTTTATCCCAAACCTTTCCGGTAGAGTTCTCATCAATTTTTGTACTTGTCTTTCCTCTGATATCTCTTCACTGAGCATTGCGCTTTGGTTTACAAGATCACAAAAGCGAGCATAGTACATATCTATGGTCTCATCATCTCTCATCTGGATTTCATCAAGCTCCGTGGTAATTCTCTGTAGCTTCAAAGATTTTACAGTGTTCGTATCTTCAAACTGTATCTCAAGAATTTTCCAGGCCTCGGGAGCTGTTGTGCATTGAATGATCATCTTATGGCGAGTTGGATCTACATAGACATGATTGCATATAATGCTCGAAAGATGGCTTCTTCTGCTTGTCTTTCCACATCAGTCCAAAGGTCCCTTAGTTTCTCGACTAAAACAACAGTAGCCGAGGTTGACGACTTTGATTCGGAGGAACCACCCATCTTAGATTCAGAAGGAGCCTTCAGCATAATAGGTATAGACTAGTTTGTTTCAACAACTTGCCAGGTTTCTTTTCCTAGGGAGCGAAGAAAAATTGTCATCATGGATTTCCAGTATCCATAATTCGATCCATCAAGGTACGGAGGGCGCGAAACTGACATGCCGCCGTGATTCACGGTGATTAACCCAAAGGCCCAAAGATCTTTATCATGTGATTGGAGCAGGAACACCGCTCTAGTGCCAACTGAAAACGTGGGTATCCTTTATAGAGTGCGCTCAACTTGTTAGAATATGGATTACTTATAAATTGTCATTTTGTTAGTCAAAATAGCGGAAGCACAATACCAAAGATATAAACTCTTCGGGGAGCATCCCACTACACTTTAGAGATCTTTCATTAATAAATCGATTGTGCACTCGTGTATAGTTTGAATTTACAGAAACTAGAACTCTCTTCTAGTCTAGCCACAACTATACTCAAAACTACCAACTACTTCTCTGGCCACGTTCCGTGGACTTCACACACTCGAATCCCTCGAGCAAAACCCAGTACTTAATCCCTAAGTACCAATCGCAAAAGTTTTTGAATAAAACAAGAAAAACTAACACAAAAAGACTTCAGTTCTCTGACGTTGTAAAAACATCAAATTACTACACTGTCAAAAAAAAAAAAGAACACAAAGAAAAACTTGTACACTCAATTGAAGCTCGAATAATGCGTGAATAATGATAATCTCAGCAGCCTTCAATTGATCTTCAAGTCGGGTATATATAGCTTCTTTAGGCGTGGAATCCTCCTCAAGCAATTTCCTTCTTCTTTTGATTTCTTTCCAAATTTCGATGTTAAAACATGGAAAGTGAATATCCTCTCTCTCTTCCTTTGATCTCTATTCCATGCATGTTTCTATCCTCGTCCATGCACGTCCGATATCCTACAATAAATAACATAATAAGATCATGCAAATCTTTCCAAAATATATATACTATACAAATATCCAAATTATATATGAAGTTCCCTTTTATTCCTTAAGCTTGCAGGCTAGGAAGAAAAATAAATTGAGATGGTGGGAAATTCCCAAACGAACAATTTCAACGAAATCACAAAGAGAGGGGAATGGTTTTTCTCCCTCCTAGACCTCCCCCCTTCCTATCGCTCGCTGCCTGGCAGAGAACTCACTTGGGTAAGCTC